TGTGGTGGGGGGGGGGGGACCCGGGGGTATTGGAGGAAAATGAGTTGATAAGGAAAATATTTTCCAAAACATTTAAGCCAACCAAACATGGGAAAATTGGAAACAGGAAAATGTTTTCCTTCATACCAAATATACCCTACGTTACATTTTGTAAAATGCAACAGAAACTGGAAAAAATAAGGAAAATATTGTCAAATATCAGGTAGTTCTCACCTATGGAAGAAAGAAAGATACAGATAAAGTTTGATCAGTTTGATAATAACTGGTACATTTCCAGAACATGAAGTTGGTTTTAATTAAGATTATAAGCTAATCAGAGGACTGAGGCTGATAATCATTCTAATGAGCCTTAAAAATCCCATCTTTAAGCACAACTCCTTCGACAACACCATCTGAGTTCAGCTTGGCTTTTGCAAAATTGGTGTCACAAGGTCCAGGCAAAGTGAAATTGATAGTAAAGTGACCTGGAGGAGTTACCCTTCGCGCTCTTCTATTGAACGAAATTGGTACCCAAGTGCTTGTTACTACACCAGCATTTACTCTCCCCTCTATCTCCACTTCCCCGTTATACAGAATATCAACGGACACATCACCTGCGAATACAATTGTTCACTTAGTCGTTTCTCTTCAATCTTTAACATGATTTTCAGCAATATGACTATCAGTTTTCAAATGCATACAAATTCCTCAAGTAAGAGTCAGTATAAATTTTTTGATATAACATTCTTTGTACTATTTGTAGTTGATAAAGAATAAGCTTTGGCTGCACCGTGGATTGGCTGATGGTAGGGAAGGCTGGCTAAGCAAGCATAGATCCCTAGAAAGAAATTTTTTCTCTCTAGGGAATCCGAACTAACTTTGTGTTTTTTAGAAGTTTAAGCTTGTGTTTTGATTCCTCTCAATGAAAAAATAGGATTTGAGAGGACGATCTGGTTCCAAATCAGCTGTTCATTCAATACTTACTACAGTCAGAGCATGCATTTGTCGAACAGCAGAAGTGCTTTTTCGGCCGTGGGTTCTAAAACTAAAAAGGACTTGAAACTAAAAAGGGGGGAAAAAGGAAGCAAAATTGTCAAAACAGTTTCTTAGTAATTTCTTTCTAGCTGTTTATGCTGACTTAAGTTCTCAAACTATTGCTCAGCTTGGCACATACTAAAAGTAGATGTTTTTAGTGTGTTATATATAAGAAGGAAATGAACTTACACACGTTTCTCGTGACAGCCGGTAGGATCACATTAAACTTGTATGAATATTCACTAATACTGACAGTCACTGGATCAGTTGGAACTCCTGGTCTCCCCTCTACGGCTGCTCCAGTTTGTACGACATCATCTGGTTGGTATGAAAAGGGATATTCTATATACATATTCAAGTACTCAGACATATTCCCAGTGTTTCCCTAGAAACTTTCTTCCTGCAGATTATAAAACTCAAGGGTATTAAGACTGTGCGTAGCTTGCAATACTGGAAATTAGGAAGGAACCCGAAAGAGTAACTTCATATCTGTGTGATTCGGTCAAAAGGAAAAAAAGGATTGCCCCCTGACACTATGAGCCATAGCATCTAAATAACATCAGTATACTCGATATCTTAGGCATGCTATGGGTTAACATGGCAGTTAGAAGAATCAATGTCGAACCTACTTAGGGACCAATGGTCCATTGTTTTTGGCCCAATCACTATATTTTCATATCAGAAACTATATTAGCATACATATACATTGATCAAGGACCTCTTCTGTGATTAGTAGCAACTCAGTAATCTAGATTAAAGGCAGATGAACACCCATGATTTAGATATTCTGGTCTGGCACTGAGAAGAACAAGAATATATGGAATTGAAAAGAAAATGCCGAGGTAAAACTTTCATAAGAATCAGGATATATGAACATTTAAATTTGTAATCAAACTCCTCATCAGAATATAAAGAACATGGAATGAATGCAAGAAAACTCCTCACTGAAAGACAGGAACATAGATAGAAGTCAAAAGACCAACTTTTAATGCATATATAAATACAGTAAAGAAGTTCCGGGTACTTGTTAACCTACTGTAACCACACAATTTTACAGCAAAGAAGTAAATGTCATTTTTGCGTACTTACAGAATTTTATCTCTTGCTCTGCAAAAAAGGCAAAACACAAAGCTTAGTAAAGCAATGAATCAGTTTACAGGAATTCATAGAGGGTTCTGCTGACAAAAGGAGATAAGAATGAAAGAGATTGTGGGAATTCAGTGAGGATTCTCTCTTGCAAAGAAATGGTAACAGATTTATGTCAAGAGACTAGTCTTTTTATTTTTATTTTTCGAGTTAACAGTATCTTGCACTATTGTCGAAAGGAAAGCAAACATTAGCACTTGAACTAAACTAAGCAGCATTTATCGCACGCTCCAAAGGAGCATGAGATCTAAGTCGCAATCAATCCAAGTAGATTTACGTACTAACGAATCGTAATCTCATGTTTAAAGACAACTTAATGCGGAACTAATTGTAATCGAAGTGGATTTACGTACTAATGAATCGTAATGGCATGGACCAGCGTAATCTCTTTTAGATTTTGCGTTGACTGTCAACTAATGACAACTTAATGAAGCAATCTGTGCAACTATAGACACATAAAATGGTGCTTCCAAAGATATAGATCCAAGAAACAATGTGATGCACAACTAATTTATCTTTTTTTCTACTTATATCCAAACTTCGAGTTACCCTTATTTTAAGACTAAAGTGCAAGTAGATTTCACTACCCTTTTTCCTGTTTAAATTCGCTTTACCCTAGAGCCCTCTTCTCCAATGGGAGTGCTTATCGTGCATATATATCTATGTAAAGAAACAGATCAACGTATAAGATAGCAAAGGAAAAAAGGAAAAACTAAAACAAATGCAGGTAGAATGAAGCACAAGGTAGAATAAAGCAAAACCTAGTCAGGTGAATGAAACACAAAGTTCTCATGCTTATAATTTTTATACTTCTGTAGGTTGCAGGTCACGGTAAGCAAACAGGCGATAAGAAATTAAAGTGATCAATGGCCAAAGACAAGTAAAGAATTCAGCTTCTTTATCATGGCTAAGATGTAAGGAAATGTAGCTGATATCCAAAAGAATGAACCCTAAGCCAAAATGCTATACAAAGAGTGTTAAATGCCAAATAAATAGCAAAGAAACAGATCATCAGATAAGAAAGGTGACCGTAAGCAAACAGGCGATAAGAAATTAATGTGATCACTGCCAAAGACATGTAAAGAATTCAGCTTCTTCACCATGGCTAAGATACAAGGAAATCCAGCAGATATCCAAAAGAATGAACCATAGACCAAAATCCTTAGCAAAAGATATCAGATGCCAACTAACGAGCAAACAAAAAATTAAATAAAAAATCAAATCCTAAAAAACTCCAAAAATTAGCATTTCACCTGGTACTGATGATGATAGCAAAGAAACAGATCATGATCAGATACGAAATCAAAAAAAAAAATGCAGGTGAGAATGAAGCACAAAATAGAGTTAAGTAAACCTAGTCAATAGATGGAGGAAGAGCAGAATTTACCTTAGTAGAATTCACAGAAAAAACAGCAGGGAATAGGGCGGAAGAGTCAAGTGAGAGTGCTCTTAAAGCATGGGAAAGCAGGTGTTCCAGCAAGGACTGACGTTTCAAATTAACCATGAAGTGCCACATTTGAATAAAACACACAATCTCTATACCGCCATTTGGCTGTTTGAATCCGTTGAATATCTTTGTTTGGACATGAAATGAAACCACTAATGCCATTACTACTTTTCTAGGTAAACCAAATACTTGTCACTACTACTCATTAAATGCATCTTTCCATTTCCAAATACTGCATATCCTCTTCATTTGCCTCCATCTCTTCCGCCCCGCCGCTGTCGAAAGAAACATATGTTAAACATGATAAGAGTAGAGTGATTTTTGTTTTCCTGTCCAACATAACTTCATGAATACATTTGTATATGATGCTGCCATTGACGAACTCAGAATAATTTTAAAGAATATAACCTAAACAATGAACAAAATTGTACTTCTATTTCAAGTTTCAACCTTTTCATGTTATTCATTTTACTGGGAGCGTTATATCTCTTTTTATTTTATTTTCTTCTAACGGCATCCTGGAGAGACAGCTCCCTCCCTCAGAATAAATCCAGAAGCTATCTTGGACATTGTAAAATGCTTTTTCAAGTGATTTTTTCTTCAGAGAATTAGGTTCCATTCATGGAAATAACACCTTTGAATTTCAGTGCCATTGCAGTAAATATGCTATTATTATGGTCTAATATGAAGTAGGGAATCATTTGAACTGCAGTTTGCTGTATTTACATGGTAAAACATGTCATTTATCTGAACCATACAAAAACCTACAAGTTAGTACATACAGCACATTAGCCAGCACTAATCCATATTAAGGAACTTGGGTGGAACAGCTTTCTGTGGTGGATTCTGGCTTAAAATGGTTATCTACACACTGCCAGCTACATTTCGTATTTCACAACAACAGCTTCAAAAATGCCATCAGATCTGAAGTTTGGTGAAAACAACCTAGGATCGACAGGCCCGGGCAAACTAAAGGACAAAGTGAAAGGTCCAGATGAGCATTGTTGCTGAATTTTCATATCAAAGACCCGCGAATATCTTGAGACAGTTCTTCCACCAGTTGACGTCAACCCTCGAATAAGGACCTTCCCATCTTTTTCAATTTCACAGCTGAACTCACCTGCAACAAGTGGTTAAAGAGTTCATTTAGCAAAAATGACAAGATACCACCTAATTCAGGAGAGTTTCTGAAACTGTTTGCACTAATGGATACAATTCTAAAGTAAAATGAGAAAACAGGCTGTGTCAATAGGGAAAGCAAGAATGGAGAGGGCATCTGATGTCAGGTACACTTAGAAACCATGTACTTCATCTAATCTCAGTTCCGGAGCGATACACTGATTTCTCTTTTGATGATTCTTTCTTAACTATTGGACAATGGACTACTTAGACAATGAGTTACAGGCAGATAAGTCTGACATAAATGAATTACTATCCAGGTAACAGTTCCTTCTATTATGATAATGTCATGGTTGCTGGACGTCAAAAAAATTATATAAAGATCTTAGCAAGGCTGATACGGATAGAGTAACTTCAGAAGCATCTCCACCTAATTATTACCTAACTATTTCTTTCTCAAATAGACATCTTGCAAGAACATTACAAACTTAATACTGAAAAATAGTTGTTAGATGTTTTTGTCTAAAATGGACTCCATCCATGAACCAATCCCAGTTAAGTACGCATTAGGGAAAATAAACAAGTAACACACAGCCATTCGGATATACTAGTTTTTACTTGCTGTCAAATGGTTTCTTATCATCAATGAAACAATATATTGTTAGTGAAAACATTAAATTCATAACAGACTCAGCAGTATCCCATAGCCACAGGCAGTGACATGCAGCATAATGCACTTTCTTAGTCGAGCCAAATTCCTTGTATTCTGCGTGCTTCGGACGCTATATATTTGAAGGCAAATTTCCTCATTTCAACAAGCAGTTTTACATGACACCTAATGTGCATTCCATTGTATACAATATGAAAAGTTCCTTAGCTGATGATCAGTGGCAGACAAAAAAAGTTCAGCAATACATGAGACAAGATGTGTATTCCATTGTACACAATATGACAAGTTCCACCGCCGATGATCAGTGGCAGAAAAAAAGATTCAGCAATATAAGATGTTACATCGATACTGCCACAAACATCTTTGGGCACTATTAAGTTGGAAGGCCTTATTCATACAGTAGAGCAAAATCACGTAAATGGGAAACCATGTGGGGTTGGTCAAAGAACAAGCTTCATAAAGTACTCATGCTTTATGACCTTCCGCAGTTTGGATGTTGTACTAAATGTTTTGTAATATCAGATTCACATAAACTTAATTCCAGGATCTTCACAGACTAAGGTCTTAAGCAGATTAGCATGTTCAAACAGATAATAGAAAGGCAACAAGTTAAAGGTAAAGTAACACACCAGGGTCTTTCTTGACTCCAGGTAGGGCAATACGAAAATAGTATGCAGCTTCGCTAACACCGATATCAACCACTCCAACAGGTGGTCCAGTTGCCCCTTTGCATGCTGTTCCAGTCAAGACAATAGGGACCCCCGAGTTACATTCTTCCAAGTTGGGAAGAGGGAGAAGGGACATCATGTAAGGCCTATCTAAATCACTGGTAATTGAATCGGGATGGGCCCTCTTTTTCACATTACCTTCCATCTTCATCAATGACATACCATTTTCAGCAGAGTTTTCCCCATTCGGTTTCTCCTTGGACCGCTTCCAAATTATTCTCTTAACCTTCTTTTCAGGATGTAAGCATTCCATGTCTGACATTACTAACTTTCTGTGTTCACAATGTCTTCATAAGAAGCATACCATAAGGCATTCAACAGTTATCCGCCTTCCAAACTAATTCTGCCCACAATAAAAGCAAGGAAAAACTACCAAAAAATTAGATATGGAAAAAGAAAGAACCTTAGGGCATGAAAAATACTTCAGGAGAAATACCATAATCTGCAATTTATTGGTCATATCCTATATAAACAAGTCTACTGCAGAATGTGCAAGTACCGAGGAGAAGTGGTCGTAGTATCTATACTACAGTTAATATCCAGAGTTAAGAGGTTGATAAAAGAGAGATTAAAGACGCGTTTAACAGGAACTGAATGGAACCTAAGCAAGCTATCGTAAAGCACTAACCAGCCCCCAGGATCAACAAATGTCCTGCAAGCCATTATATCCTGGTTTGTACACATGCCACCAGCATATTTGGAGAGGATAGGTTTACTAGAAGTCCAATATCATAGGAAATCACGTTTTATCCAGTCAATCCACATATCCAAAACTGGAACCACCTCCAGTCTAGATACGCCAGAAACCACTTAGGTAAAAAACGGGTGTAGCGTATTAAAATAGAGAACCAGATGGTCTGGTTACATCATTCGATTTGTGAGGTTAACAAAAATAGCTCTCATCAACTAGCCACTGTTGCACAACATCCCCCACTTGTGGAACCTATGTTCATATTACCCTAGCCATCAACCAACTTCTCAATGGCATTCAAGGGACCACATTCGGCTTAAGATATGAAACGCCTTAATACGTTTCACCAACATAATGTACATAACAAAATTATAAGAAGAAAAGCAGAAAAAGAAAAGACTTTACTTTTGTTGTTCACATCATAACAGGTATTACTATTATCTATCTTTCCAAGCTAGTGTTGGTCATTACATGTTATTTCCATCACTTGATTACTAGCAGAATTAGCTCAGTTTGTAACGTACAACTACAAACGCAAAGTGATTCACATTTGGAGAAAAAGTTAAGAAGATTATGATTTGCCTTCACCCTGGCTGCTTGGGGAAAAGCTTCATTGGCTTTTCAAATAAGTTTAACCTGATAATTAAACTTCTGTACCTTTTTTTGAGAATATTAAAACAAGAAAGAACATGAATTGCATTCAACCAGCTAAACGGAATTCAATTAATTAATTGGGTTCTCGTAATTTCAGAGCGACCAAGTAAGAGGAATATACATACCTAAGGAAACAGCAAATTGGACCAACCCAGAAGAACTAGATTCCTCTTCAGTCTTCAGAAACTCAGCGCTTTACCATAATCCCTTTTCTTTTTTAATCTTTCATGTGAAGATGTTCTCAAAGCTATGGAATTTGAGAGAAGATCAGGACACTTGAACAGAGAGAGACGGTGTTACATTAGGAAGTACGTGGCAAACGGAGAAACAGCCCGCAACCGCTAACATTTACTTAATTCATATTAGCGCTTGAAAATAAATTAAAAATAGAAAAAGATACTGGCGAACAAAAAGTAATAAGGCGCAATGTTCCAAATGAGATATAAGTTGCGGTTATTGATTTAAGTCGCTTTCCCGCTTGAGTTTTGTAAGTCTCATTCTGGAGGCTATTTACGAGGCGCATTTATCAAACTTTTATCACAATCTTTTTTTTTCCCCGTTTTCTTGAACAAGAGATACTTTTTAATACTAGGAAACATTAGTACAAGGATCCAATGGATCATTACACATAGCATTAATGCCATCTATGGCATTATGATTTCCAAAACTACCTAGAGTTCTACAAGTGCTTTTAAGCACTGATTTCTTACTAAAACTTCTATTCTTGTCCGCCAGCATCCTGGCCACGACAAACGGAGGAGGCATAACAAAACAAACTAGCTTATTGATGGTAGTCTAACTGGCAACTTTCTTAGCCAGCAGATTTGCTATTCCGTTTCCTTCTTTGAAACTATGCCGTGCCACTAGATCCTTCTCCTTCATAGACAGCAACCACTTGCAATTATGGAGAATAGAGTCAAATGTAGAATTGTCATTTTCAAGAAGTTTTAATACATGTATCGAGTCAGTCTCGATTTCGACCGGAAAGAGGTTTCTTTTCATGGCAAACTTGAGACTTTGCTGAAGTACCAGAAGTTCTGCATGGGTGCAGGAAACAGCTTGTACTTTCATGTTGAAACCCATTATCCAGTGGCCGTTGTGGTCACGCAGAACTCCACCTATTCCACTCGTTGTTTGTTTGTGAGCTCCATCGAAATTTAATTTGAACCAGCCCAGCTGTAGCTTCCTCCAGTTCGTGTTGCAACTAAGTTTTTTTTCTTGGTTGCTTTCTCTATCCGTTAGTTAGTGATATTCAGTTGCTTGGTTGATGATGTGTGGGAGTGAAATATTTTTGTTTGTATTGTTTTCCAGATTATAGTTTATGTTTAACCAAATGTTCCAGAGTAAGAATGGAAGAAGGTGATTCCAACTGATAATGTTGGAGGGAATCTGTGGGTTACTGTATCTGATGGCGTCTAGCCAACCCTGGTTATCGGAGCTTGGGACAACACTGTCCCATTTAAGGGATTCCAAAGGCTTTTTTGCTACTACACAGTGTAGGAAAATATGAGGAAGGGTTTCCTCACCTGACCTACAGACAGTGCATGATTTATCTACATTCATTCTGATATGATAAAGGAAAGAACGGGAGGGGTGTCTATTGTGGTAACATTTCCAAAGGAAGAATTTTATTTTATTAGGGCAGTGGGCATCCCATACCCATTTGAAGTTTTTAATGTTAGGAGCGGGGTTCTCTATCAGGGTATAGCAAGATGATGTAGAGAAAGTACCATCAGTATTGGCTTCCCAAAGGAGGCAATCATAGGGACGATTAATAGGAACCGTAATGTTGGTGATATTACTAATGATATTTAGGGGTAGACAAAAGTATAGCTTATCAAACGACCAAGTGTTGTTCTTTATAAGATCACAAATTTTTATTATGGTCATTTATATTTAAGGGGCCTTCTATGCAGCTTCTGAGAAGGGGAGTATTTGGAATCCACCTAGCACTCCAAATGGAAAGGGCGGAGTTCCTATGAATGGACCAGAGGCTCTCTTTATTAAAAATGAGCCAACCCTTAAGAATACTTTTCCATGTATGGGAGTGCTTTGTTTTTCTTTTATTGTTAAGAATTTTTGTGTTAGGATATTTGCCCAAGGGGCTTGAGGGGTATTAAGAAGTCTCCATGTCGTACTAGTTAGTAAGGCTATATTTTTAGATTTTGCCTTACGTAATCCTAAGCCCCCTTTATCCTTATCAGTGGTAATTGTTTCCCAGCTAATAAGGTGAAGTGTCTTTTTGGATTCCGTAGTACCCTATATGAATCCCTTTGTATTTTGTCAATAGAACTTAGAATTTTTACGGGGAGGAGAGTATATTGCATAACGTGACTAGGGATGCTTGAAAGAGTAGATGATGCAAGCGTGGTTCTACCAGCGATGTTTAAGCAGCTAGATTTCCAAATGACTAATCTGGATCTCATATTATCTAGAATATACTGGAAATCCTTTGCCTTTGGGTTAGAAGTGGTTATTGGGAATCCAAGATATTTGCCAAATGTGTCACAGCTTTTAATCCCAAACAAGTTGGAGATATCCTTAATGTAATTTTTGGGACAGTTTTTAGAGAAAATGATTTTGGACTTTGCAAGGTTTATGGTATGTCCTGACATATTACAAAAATGATTAATACCTGTGAGAATAGTGTTACAAGATTTTTTATTAATATGGCTCATTAAGGTGAGATCATCTACGAAAAAAAGGTGGGATAGAGCTATACCATTCATAGAAAGATTGATAGGATCCCACATTTTAATGTCCACTTGGTGGTTTATGTGTCTAGTAAACATTTTCATGCAAAGAAATGAAAATATATGGCGACATAGGGTCTCCTTGTCTAATACCACGATTTGGGGTGAACCATTTTGTGGTTGTACCATTTACTAGACGGCCATGGTACTAGTAGTGATACATGACATGATGAGAGAGGTAATTTTAGGAGGGAACTTAAAGTATAACAATGTTTTATGGATAAAGAACCACTCAAGCTTATCAAAGGTCTTCTCTAAATCAAGTTTAAGAATCATTTTGCCTTTCTTACTGTTGCTTTTCCTGAAATTGTTCATAATTTCTTGGATTAAAATAGCATTATCACTAGCTCGCCTATTTTTCAGGAAGCTAGCTTGAAAAGGGCTAATGATTTTATCCAAAAAAGATTTCAATTTATTAGTAATAATTTTTGTAATAACTTTATAGATGGTGTTGCGAAGACTGATAGGTCTAAAGTTTTTAAGGTTGTTGGCATTGAAAAATTTGGGGATGAGACAAATGAAAGTGCTGTTAGTTTCCAAGGGGATATGTTGGGAAGAAAAGACCTCTTGGTAGTAGCTAATAACACTAGGGACAACTATTTTTCAATAAATTTGGTAGAAAAAAAGGTGAAATCTATCTGGCCCAGGGGCTTTATATGGTTTAAAGGAGAATAAGGCTTTGTGGATTTCACTATCACAAAGTGGTCTATCAAGGGAGGATAGATCTAGGTGGTCAAAACTTTTAGGTAGATTAAAGATTTTTGAATGATTGTGGGAGGTAGTGAAAGCTTATTCAAAGTAGCTTTGTACATGTAGAAGGATTTCATTGTGGTTATCAATCCAATTACCGGAATTATCTTTGAAGTAACTTATGTGATTTCGCCTTCTTCTATTAGAGGCACAAATGTGGAAAGATCTGGTATTAACGTCCCCATCATTTAGCCAATTAACTCTTGATCTAAGCTTCCAGTAGTCATCCTCTAGTTTTAGGTAATTATTGTATTTTTTTTGTAAAGATATTTCAAGATCTTGTAGGAAAATACTAGTAGCATAATAAGGGGAACACTGAATACCATTTAGTCTAGCCAAAATCTTTTTCTTTTTTTTTTAAAGATGTCCCAAAATGTATTTTTACTCTAGTTGGTAATGTTGAGAACAAAATCGTGCGTGGCCGATTTAAAGTAATTATTGGCCTAGTGAGAATAAACAATGTTAATGAAATCAGGGTGAGTACACCAAATGTTTTCTAGCCTAAAAGGTTTGTGAAGGGGGAGCGGGAAAAAGAATTGAGTTTAAGAAGTAAAGGGTTGTGGTCCGAGTAGGTTTTAGGCAAATGCGTTACTGAGGAGCCTGGGAAGAGGCTTAACCAATTTTCATTTGCCAAAAACCTATCGAATCTTTCCATGATTAGCCCTTTGTGCCTATTTATGTGATTAGACCACGTATACTTATACCCCTTGTATCCTAAATCAATTAGTTTACAATTGTTGATATGACTCCAAATTCTAGTAGTTCTAGAGTGACTTACCGTCCTACCCCCAAATTTTTCGGATGCCATAGTTATGTCATTTAGATCTCCTCCTAATAACCAAGCTCCATTAAAATTGTTAGCAATATATTCTAGGTAGTTCCACATAGATTCTCTATCATAGATATTGGTACTAGCATAAACAGTACTAAGGAGCCAAGAAAATCTGAAGGGGATTACCTCAATCATAGCATGAATTTCCTGGCCCCTCCTAGTAAAGTTGTTGACAGCAACAACTTTGTGATCGTAGAGGACGACTAAACCTCCAGCTTGGCCTTCAGCTGGTACCTCGATCATCTCAGTGAAGTTATAATCGTTGAGCAAGGCTGCATGGGAGGACATCCTAGTTTCAAGCAAAGCTATTAAGCAGTGTTTGTGTGTATCAATAAGGTCCCTAAAATTCCTACGAAAATCATCATTGTTTGCTCCATGCACGTTCCAGAAGATGATGTTAGTGGCTCTATTCATCATTGTTGGATTTTGATGGTTGGAGTTGGTCACTGCCTCCAAAGAGGAATTGGGTCCCTTGGTGAAACAGTTACAACTAAAGGTTAGTATAACGACCATCCTTCATTGATTTCACCATTGATTCTATTTTTATCTCTTACAATTAATTATCTGCACTATGTAGGCCGTGTAAAGAATAAGAGAACTACGATTAACATTAACCAACTACGCTCTGATTATATTCTATTAAAAAAGATTCCAAGTTGCTTGTTCTGCTATGCAAAAAAATTTGAATATGAACCCCCTGGATTTTGTTGTGGCAATGGTACAGTAAAGTTAAGCTCTTCCAGCTAAACTGAAAAATTTATATATGGGTAATAATGCAGAATCCAAGCATTTTCGAACGTATATTAGAACATATAATAATCTGTTTGCTTTTATATCACTTGGTGTCAGTTATGACAAAGATTTAGCCAAGAGAAACCGTGGTATATATACATTCAGCAGGGGTGGCTCAATAAGTTTGGTGGCCTAAAGCCAAACTTTAATGTTAGACCCTTTTAAGAAAATCATATATATTTTTAGTTGAAGTAGATTTTTCTAGCTTTTTGAGAATAAAATTACTTAAAATTCGCATAAACCATTTAATCTCTCATGTGCAGTATGATCTTA